CTTTCTGCGAGCCAGCAGCATGAAGAGAACAGGAGGCGCTTCGGTTCCTCCTGGCCTCTGCTGCGCTTTGCCATGGCCAGCAAGAGACTCTTCGAACATGTCACCTCATTCTCTATGAGTCGTTTGCTGCTTCCCCATTTCACCCACCTGTGTGTCCTCATGCATGGCCCTACCAGACATGCACTGCTCCCCTCATTCCACCTGCCTGCTTCTCTACCACCATGTCTCCTCCTCGTAAGTCATCCTTAGGCACATGGTGAATTCATTGAAGGTTGTACGAATCACAAGGCTTGAATCTTTATTTGTTATGTCTGCTCTGACTTCGGAATCATGACATCTCTGCGTACAAGAGATCGAGCCCATCTCCCTCATATTCAACAGTGAGGAGCTCAGGTGGTCAGAAAGGCTTTCCAGCTTCCTCAAACTCCCAGGTCACAAATCCCTTGACCTTGTTTTCACCAGCTTAACGGACCTGCAGAGCCTTGGTTGTCTCATGGCTTCCTCTGCTCACTCCCTCACAAGCCTCAGCCTTGGGCTCACAGATTGCCTTAGGGGTAAGAACTGCCTCAGGGGCAACAGCATTGCACACGATTCTATCCAACGCAGGCTTATCAATCTGGCATTTCTGGGGAAGCTTTGGCAGCTGCAGCGGCTGAAGCTAGGCCATGGGAGGTGGGATCTAAGCAGTGTGAAGGCAGCATGGTTCCCGGCACTAAGGAGTCTGACCGTAGATCATGTGGATTGCGACAGCTGCGATCATCAGTTCCTGTCTTCCATCTCACCTCAGCTGCATGAGTTCTCTCTCTCCTCCTCTGGTCGTCGCTCATGCCTCTTGACGCTCCAGTTCAAAGCTGCTCGAGTTATCACAATCAGATATGAATTAGCGTGTCTCAATGCTTTCTTCACCCTCCCACCCTCTTTAAAGTCCTTTTCTGCTGCAGCGGATAAGCTGGAGATTGATTGCATGTGCTCCAGCCCACTCTTTCTTGACTCCTTCACTCTGATTGGTCATTCACATCTTGTCGTGTTTCCGCTCCCGCTGGCTTCTGCCAAAGCTGTCTTCTTGAATGGACCAACCCACCAAGAAACGCCCAGGCCGTTGAACGAGAATTTTTCTATTTGCAGACGGGTCTTTCAGCTTTCTTCCCAGCTTTCTTTGACCCAGTTACTCAGCACCATAGCGCCAACTGTGGAGTCGCTTATGGTGAGACATGGCTGGCCGCTAGAGAAGGTTGAAGTGGAGTGGAGTTGCCTGCGCTGCCTTGCCATTGGTGTGAACAATCAGGGTCCAGATGGGCATCGTCTTATGACCACAGTGGAAGATTCCCGGAGGAGGGGCTTTGGTGGGGAGAGCAGCAGCAGCAGCGAGCATGAAGAGATAAGCCCTCCTGTTATAATAGCTCCAAAGATGGAGTTCATCTTCTTTGCAACTCGGCAGTGGTATCCTGGGTCGCTGGCTTGTTTGCCTGTCATTTTCCCGTCCCTCACATTGTACCGCATTGTTGGTCGGTCGTTTCACTGGGAGAGGGAGGGAGAGAAGTGGAGCCAAGATCCGGTTGTACATATGAGGGCGGATTATGTTGCATGCGCCATGAAGGAGGAGGACATGGAGCAGGATGATCGGATCATGAGGTTCCTTCAAACCCTTTGAGGTGAATCTGCATTTAAAGGAGTTTGGCGATGTCTGGCTGAGGAATAGAGGGAGTGGGTGGAACCAGGTTATGCAGGTATAAGAGGTGCATGTGAGGGAGTTGTGTTGTGTGCAGGGACGAGTGGGAAAGCTGCTGTGTGCTTTTTAAAGTGGTGACAATTATGTTACTACCATGGGGTGGTGTTTACGAGCATCCGTATGTTCTTGTCCGACATGTACATGTTCGGTACGAGTTCAGTTTCTTACATTTTGCATTGAGAGCATGTCACAAAGTACAATTCTAAAATGTGAGAACAGTAGCACTAGATAGTAGAAGGCCCCATTGAGCTGCATTCGAACTTACTATCCGGACGTGCCCCCAATCCTATAATAGAGCGTACATAGTTTTTGTGCAAGCCAAAGTGCCATGCACATTCCAGCAGCTAGGAAATCCGTGACAATCTACAACTGGTAGTGGCAACGGCGATGCGTCGTACGTATGCATGGCTGAAGCACCCATAAGGCACTCGATGCCGAACACACACCGTCAGCCGAAGCAAACATGCGCATCGCGACCTACCGGTAGTAGTGTTAAAGCCAGGATCTCAAGTAGTTTGGCTGTTTTGCAGTTAGTGAATTGTGTTAGGCTGTGATTGGTTGACGAGGTAGAGTAGTTGACGAGAGCTGAAACGAGGGATGCGAAGCAAACAAAAATCGCAGTGAACTTCCGAACCAACTAGGCACGGAAATCTGGTTGGGTTCCGAAGCTCATTTCCCAGCAATGTGTCTCACTTGCCGAAAAATCTCATGCACAGCAATTTGTTTTGCAATTGAGATTCACGGGCAAATCGGGGATCAGTCGCACACTGAACCTCCAACCCAACCACTCGATTTCGCCTAAACAAACAGGGTGACCCGAGCTGCAAGTGTTTTGCAATTGAAGCCAATTTCTCTTACTTGAGATCCTGGCTTTAAGATCGGTTCAGGTAATATTGTAAAATGGCATCAGCATATCCAACGTTCTGCTCAACGAGCGCGACTCACTCAGGCGCATCGCGGAACACACCGCAGCTTTGCCACGCTGTCCTCGCACCTCATACTCGCCTTCCCCCCTGCCCATTCCCCTTCCTCGCCGTGTTGCGCTCCTGCGGTCCTGGTCAGCCGACCGGACCACTGGATTGCTCCCGCCATTGCGCCGAGATGGCTAAAATCATCGTGCCTACGCTGACTAGTGAGTCGGATTCACGAGAGTGCGAGCATGGCAAGAGGCGTTTAGACCGATTAATATTCCTCGAATACAGAGAACCGCTCGGTGACTGACTGAAATCAGCAATCTCAATTCGAACGTCAGCAAATTTAAAACCCGCAGGCCAAGATATTCAACCTTAGGAAGGTTGGTTGGGATTTGCTAGACGAGGTGTTATAAACTCGGGAAAATCACAGGCGTTTTTGGGACACCCAACCAACACTAGAAGGATGAACCGAATTTGGCCTTCTTGACCCACGGGTTTTAACGACAGCATCTTCGGGGAATTTGAGTTTCAGCTTTCTTTGAACCTCTCTGTATTCGAGTTTCGTTTTAGGCTAGACAAATCAATCGCGATAGCAACTGTCACCGTCGATGGATAGCCATGGGAATGAGGTGGTGGAGAGGATGCATGCTCTCAAGGTGATAGCGCACTCTGATGCCGAGAATCATTGTGAGGTGAGAGTGATAGCGCAACTTCACTGTCTCCTCGCTTTCTGTGTGAAAAAACAAGGCATCCCACCATGATTTCTAGCTGTTTCCCTTGGTTTTCGTTGCACCGCATCATCTCCTAATCATCCCTTTCTCCTCTCATCGCCAATAGATCTCACTCCCCAGCCACCAGAGCGTGGACGTGGTTGATTTGCTGCCCGGCCCCATCTGGCACATCATTTTCCGCCTCCTGCTGTTAGGCGAATCTTTGGAGGAAGCATCATTGCGGGGAGCAGTGAGCACTTTGTGTGACTTTGTCGCTCGGCCGCAACAAACTGATTCGCCTAACTCATTTAAAATTGAGGAAGGCAACCAAGACTTCCCCACTACGAATCCACTTACCGCTAGACAGCGGCATGAGGAGAACACGAGGTGTTCTGGCTCCTCCTGGCATCTGCTGCGCTTCGCCATGGCCAGCAAGAGGCTCCTCCACCATGCCGTCTCCTTCTCAGTGAGTCGTCATCCGCTGCTTCCCCCTTCCCCCTTCCCCCCTCCACTCATTTGCTTCTCCTCCACCATGCCATCTCCTGCTCCGTGAGTCTTTTGTTGCTTCTACAGTTCATCGTGGGAGCCAAACCAGCATGCTTATCGCCGGTCATTGCTATGATGCGTTCAGATTTGATAACGGCGATTCGCATCCGTCGTCCCAGAGTGAAAGAACTTGCTCAAAAGCACACCGCGGAACACCCGCGAAACTCTCACGGGAACACTCCGCAGGACTACACACGCCGTCCTTACGCTTTGTCCACTTCCCCCGCCGCGCAGCGGCCTCCTCGTGCCGTGCAAACTCGGTCACCCGTCGCGCCGCTGTGTACTGGCACGGCCATGGTGACGAAAGGCGTACCTCGTGCGTGGCGTACCTGACCAGTGAGGGTAGGGTTTCAAGGTTTATGCGAGTACGGGACGAGCGGTGCAGTGGAACAGCTGGGTGGCTTCGAGTATCAGAGATCTATCAGAGATTCAGGTCGGCGAAATCAACGCCAGGCGCACTCTGCTTCGCTTGCCAATATCCTAATCGCCTGCTGCGAAGTCCTTCATAACTTTTCGATGTCCCGCTTTCTTGATTCCCTCGGTACTCAATCGTTTGACGACTCGTTGTAGCCTAGACGAATCCAGTTCCGTGTTCCTCACGGCGCCGATGGCCTCCAGCCATGGGGATTCGGTGCTGGAAGAGACCATGGCTGCTCTCATTCTCACACAGCCCTGTGCGGCTGAGAATGATCACCAGGTGAGCTGCATGTGGGATGACCAGCAGAAGACATCGAGTATCAGTAATTCTGGTCAGCAGATTTACCTTACCCTCTGCGAATCCAATGCCCAATCCTTATTCAAGGTTGTTTTTCTCGCTTTCTTGCAACACTCTGTATCCTAACGTCCGACGAGCCGTTCTAGACAAGGCCAATTGGAACCCTCAGTTCTCACCACGACAATGGCTATTAAGCATGAGGGTTCGGTGCTGGAAGAGAGCATAGCTGCTCTCAATCTTTCACAGACCGCGGCTGCTGAGAATTCTCATGAGATGAGCGTGATGCCACAGTCACTACTTCCTTGCACATCCTCGCCTAGTCCTCTCCCACTCCCTTTGTCTTGTTCTCCCTCACAGTGCTTCCCTTCGCTCACCCCACCCACCAGAGCGTGGACGTGATTGATCTGCTGCCCGCCCCCATCTGGCACATCATCTTCCGCCTCCTGCTGGCGCATCATTCTCCGGAGAATCGGGGTGATTCCTCGGCTGCATCGCAGGAGGCAGCACCTCGAACGCCACAGCTCTTCCGTTTCCCGCCAGCACAAGCAGCATGCAGAGGCATTGAGGCGCTTCGGCCCCTCCTGGCCGCTGCTGCGCTACGCCGTGGCCAGCAAGAGGCTACTCCGCCATGTCATCTCCTTCTCCGTGAGTCATCATCATGCGATGCTTCCCTTCCCTCATTCCACCGTACAACCCTTTGATGCAACTCATTTCAGAAAATGGTAGATTTTGCTCTCTGGGTAGCCAAGCCGTACTGTCACGGATAAGCTTCTCTGCCATCTCTGAGTCCATCGCTGTGTGTGAGCAGGAGCTCGAGCCCATGACGCTCCTATTCAACGCCCAAGACCCCCGGTGGTCAGGCATACTCTATTTCTTCCTGCGTCGCGCAGCTCACACGTCCCTTGATCTCACTCTCAATAGCTCCCAAGATCTGAACAGCATCGGCCGTCTCTTGCAACCCTCTGCACACTCCCTCGCAAGCCTGGGCCTTGGAATCAAGGAACCTCCCGGGGGAATCGAGCCTATCATCAAGGAGAAGCACCTGATGAATCCGGCCTTTCTTGAGGAGTTTCAGCAGCTGCAGCGGCTGAAGGTAGGTCGTGGGACCTGGCAATTAGGGAGCCTGAATCCAGCAAAGTTCAAGGCTTTAAGGAGTCTGAGCATCCACGATTCTAAGTGCGACGGGAGTGATTTGTCCTTCCTCTCATCCGTCGCACCGCAGCTGCATGAACTCGCTCTCGCCTCCTCCAGCCACGACTCTGCTTTGAGAAACACCCTCGATTTCAACTTCACCGCTGCTCGATCTATCACGCTCTGCTTTGAGAAGCAAGCGCTGCACCTCCGCTGCGCCCTGCCTGCCTCTTTGAAGGCCTTCTCTGCCACTGCAGCGTGCCTTAAAGTGGATTGCACTTCCTCCTCCAGCCCTCCCTCTCTCGACTCGCTCTCTCTCATTGGCTACTCGCAGCTCCTCGTTTCCTCGCTCCCATTGGCTGCCGCAAAATCCGTCTACTTGAACGGAGCGAGCACCCGAGCAAATCGCTGGCGCGCGTTTCCCTCTTCCAATGATGCCTCTCAACGCGCCTTGACCAACCTGCTCAGCAGCATAGCGCCTATAGTGGAGATGCTTGTATTGAGGTACGGCTGGCCTCTGGAGGGCGTGCATGTGGAGTGGAGCCAGCTGCGGCACCTCAGTGTTGGTGTGAACCGTTATAGCAATGGGGGGTTTAGTTACAGTGAAAACCTGAAGGATTCGGAGGACTCTCGGTTTATGAGGTGCTTTGGTGGGGAAGAAGGGGGCAGTAGGAGCAGCAGCGGCAGCACGTACATCGATGCTCCGAACCTGGAGTCTATTTACATTCCGGATGCTCTGCGCAGGCAGTTCCCTTCCCTGGCATTGTCCACTGGCGCGGTCGTGATAACGGGTGCGAGAGGAGCGGTGTGATTAGGTTAGGTCAGTTTGGGCACACAGCGTGTCATAGCAGTGGCATAGGGTCAGATTGTGTCATAGCAGTGGCATGGGGTCAGATTGTGTCATAGCAGTGGCATGGGGTCAGATTGTGTCATAGCAGTGGCATGGGGTCAGATTGTGTCATAGCAGTGGCATGGGGTCAGATTGTGTCATAGCAGTGGCATGGGGTCAGATTGTGTCATAGCAGTGGCATAGGGTCAGATTGTGTCATAGCAGTGGCATGGGGTCAGATTGTGTCATAGCAGTGGCATGGGGTCAGATTGTGTCACGGTGATAGTATGGAAGCACAACGTGGCGTAGCGGTAGCATGGGATCCCCTAGTGTCACAGTGATAGCATGGGATCCCCTAGTGTCACAGTGATAGCATGGGATCCCCTAGTGTCACAGTGATAGCATGGGGTCAGATCACGTTCCCCATGCCATGGGTCAGGGCATGGGTCAGCGTGTAAACCCCCTTTGCTATTTCATGCTGTGGAGGGAGATAGCAAGCAGGGTGGCTGGGGTAATGAGTGAGTGGGACCAAGATGGACAGGTGTGAGGGCTTCTTTTGTGAGGGAGATGTGTGCAGGGTCGAGCAGGAAGGGAGGTGTGTGCTAATAACGGTGGTGGTAATGGTGGAGGTGTGTGCAGGGACGAGCAAGATGGGCGTTTTGTGATGATAGCGGTGGTGACATTGGTTTGACAATCAGGGGGATGTGACTATGGGGTGGTGTGGCCATGGGGTGGTGTGGCCATGGGGTGGTGTGGCCATGGGGTGGTGTGGCCATGGGGTGGTGTGACAATGGGGTGGTGTGACTATGGGGTGGTGTGACTATGGGGTGGTGTGCACCTATGTGGTGCATGCTACAGCCTTGGACGTAGGATGGCAGTGGGATGGCGATGGAATGGCGATGGGATGGCGATGGAATGGTGATGGGATGGTGATGGGATGGTGATTCAACGGTGATCGGTGTTAGCAGTGGCGGTGGCAATCCCACCACCGTCCCATCACCATCCCATACTTGTACGGCTGGGACAGCTGATGATGATGATGCTGGTGCCTGAGCTAGTTCCTGTGGCTGTCGTGATGGGGCTGCCTGCTGTTTGCTGTCTGCTGCTGTCAGGGCATAGGGCTGCTGCTCCACCAGCTGAGCAGAGTAATGCAGAGGAGATTATGAAGGCTTGTAGTTGTGTATTGATGCTTTGTTTTGATGCTTTGCTCTGGTGTTTTGTCTATATGGCTTATGTTTGCGATGTATATTGTTGTGTTTTTGCTTCGCATAAAAATTCCTGATGAGACGCTTCCTTCCAATAACAAGATGAAACTAAAATTCTAGATTTCAACGGAGATGGTCCACCATGAATTGAGACATCTTCAAACGGGTACACGCAGTTTCGCCTTTCACGGCACGGAGGATGGATGGAGGGATTATACATATGCATTCGAGAGGTATGATAATGGAACCTAGGGCATTCGAGCATAGCGAGGTGTAGGTAGAACGTTTTGCAAGTCGACAGCATTCGAGAGTCGCGAATTGCGATAAAAGCGATCCATGGCTGCCGTCTACGCGTAGTACGGTATTGCTGCGTGAGACGAAGCGTGACGATACAGCCACCTGGACGAGACCGTTGTTGTCGCCACGTGTCAGCCACGTGAAGGCTGCGAGCACACCGGCAGCTGTGACGAGGCGAAGCAGCAGCATGATTTCTGACGCTCGTTGTGCATTTAGACTTAGTAGAAGCGTCGACTCGAATCCTTTGCTTCAATGTGTAGGCCATTTGCTCAGAGGCGCACGGGGGAAAACACCGCGGAACACTCCGCGGAATACCCCTCGCGGAGAACCCCCTCGGAACACACCGCACAGTCCTCGCGTCGTGTCCACTCCTTCCCCCCGTCGCTCAGGAACATTTCCTGCCTCACCGTGCCACGTTGCCATGCACTTGGTCAGCCCGACGCGCCGCTGCTTACTTCCGCCTTAAGAACTCACGCCAGGCGGGCTGTATCTTCAGGAGCACTTGCTTGAAATCACTGTTGAAAACACTTGCGCGAATCCTTCAAAGGACCTCTTTTCAAGAGTGGCTTCAACATAGCTGACTGGATCTTTATGAGCACTTTCTTGAATTCTATGTGTCGCTGTGCTATGACCCTCTGTGCTGGAACGTTCCGCGAAACATCTCTCAAGTGGTTGCAGCTCTAGACGAGTCGAATCAAATTCGTAGTTGCCGCCTTGTCTCCGCGCCGATGGCTACTAACGATGGGGATGCGGTGCTGGAAGAGCGTTTGTGTGCTTTCAAACTCACTGAGCCTTTTCTAGCTGAAAATCCGCACGAGGTGAGAGTGAGTTGCCGCAGCACCGATGGCTACGGGGCATGGGGATGCGGTGCTGGAACAGAGCGTGCGTGCTCTTAAACTTACAGAGCCTGCTGACGCGAGGTGAGCGTGTTGCTGCAGACAGAGACAGAGCAACCGATCCTCTGGTTTCGCATCGCGTCCCTAATCCACCCTCGATTCACAACCCTCCTCTCCTCCTCTTAACTCCCGAATCCTTCCGCTACTCCACTCATCTCCAATGATCTCTCCCCACTCACCCACCAGAGCGAGGACGTGGTTGATCTGCTGCCCGGCCCCATCTGGCACATCATCTTCTGCCACCTGCTGCTACCGCCAGCAGATTCTACTCAGCTGCAGAACCGGCACTTTCTGGGCGCATTACAGCAGGGAGCAGGCAACTTTTCGTATGCCGCTATCAATCAGATGACTGCCAGGGAGCACCATGAGGAGAACGCGAGGCGCTTCGGCCCCTCCTGGCCTCTGCTGCGCTGTGCCATGGCCAGCAAGAGGATTTTTCACCATATCATCTCCTTCTCCGTGAGACCTGTCTTCTCACGCGCACATTGATCTGTACAACCTAGTTAACCAGAGTGCTTAGGGCGCTAAACTGTTGCTTCCAAAGTCCTCTGTTAATGAAGTTGGGTGTTGACCTAATACTTCTTCTCTCTGGTTGCAGGAACTGGAGCCCATCTCCCCTATGTATAACACTCAGGAAACCCAATGGACAGAAATGCTCTCCTGGTTTCTCAAGTTGTCAGGTCACAAGTCCCTCGACCTCACTTGCAGCAGCTTGCACAATTTGCAGAGCCTCAGCCGCCTTTTGGCATCTTCTGCTCCTTCCCTCACAAGCTTGTGCCTTGGGTTCAGAGATTTGTCATTCCGATACTCCCTGTTGGAACACAAGATGATACACTCGGCGTTTCTGGGGGCTTTTGGGCAGTTGCAGCGGCCGACTCTTGGCCTTGGGAGATGGATGCTAGGCAACCTGGAGGCTGCATGGTTCACGGATCTAAGAAGCCTGAGCATTGACCATTTGGACTGTAACGGCTATGATCTGGCATTTCTCTCCGCAATCACCCTACAGCTGCACGAGTTCTCTTTTTCCGTCAAGAGCCATGTCTCTTGCCACCTCAGTTTTGAGTTCTCCGCTGCTCGAGTCATCAAAGTCAGTTTCGAGCATCAGAGGCTCAACCTCCGCTTCTCCCTCCCTCCCTCCTTGAAAGCCTTTTCAGCCACAGCAGATGTATTGGAAATCGATTGCAAGTGTGCCAGCCCACTCTCTCTCGACTCGCTCACTCTAACCGGCCGCAGCCAGCTTCTGGTTTCTTCGCTCCCACTGGTTTCGGCCAAAACCGTCTTACTTAACGGACCAACTAACCAGTCCAGCTCACCTTGGGAAGATCTTTTCGCTTTTGCCTCCATCTCTCAACCTTCTTTGGCTGCCACTCAGCGTTCCTTGACGCAGCTACTGAGCAGCATAGCTCCAACAGTGGAGATGCTGACAGTGAAGCATGGCATGCCGCTAGAGGAGGTGCCTGATGAATGGAGCTGCTTGCGCCGCCTTGACATTGGGGTGAATAACAGGAGAAGTGGTGGTGGGAAGTACACAGCTGCGTTGGATGATGCTGAATTTCTCGCTCTTCTAAGGAGGGGTTTTGTTCAAGGAGAAGAAATGGGAGATGAAGCACTTAGCCCACCCTTCATCAATGCTCCAAAGCTGCACTTGATTTTCTGTGCGACGCGGGAGTGGCATCTTGGAACTCGATGTACTGCATTATTGGTCAATCGTTTCGGTGGGAGGGGGAGGGGGAGGGGGAGAGGCGGAGGATTGAGCCGGTAATGCAAGCGAGGGGAGGTTATGCTGACATGAGCCAGGACGTGGTCCAAGATGTTCAGATCATGACATTCCTTCAATCACTATGAGCTACTTCATGTTGAAATATTTGATGTAATTGATTCGCTGTGTTGTGAGTATCGGCAACCATACGCAGATCAATGCGCACTTCTACACCCAGTTTTTATGTGAGGATGACTTGCTGCTACCTGGCATAGGTGCATGCAACGCAGCAGAGGGGTACTGCCATGGGTAATACCAGTAGGCCACCACACGCAGAAGTGAACACCTTTTTGCTCCTAGGGATCTGTTTGCTTCACCGTCCAGGAGCTTGACGAGCCTCACAAGTTTCAGCAACTGCGTGAGAAGGTCAGATGGAGCGAAATGAGCGCTAGCGACTCAAGTTCGTTACTCGATGTAAACAGTTCAACAGGCTCGGTTACATTTCACGAAATCGGAATCATGAGAGATAGGCTTGGAAATAAATCCAAGGCTGAATTTGTGACTCACACGTCACGTGTGATTCACTCGAAGGCCCTGTTCGCCACGGCCGATTTGTGATTGCCTCAGTAGGAAACAGAAATAACCTAGGCAAGTGAAGCGAACTCAACATCTCCATAGTATACGGCATTTGCTTTGGCCCGACAATGACCACTGGGACCAGAGTAATTGCTGTGCTCGTCGATGGCGAAACGTCGTGGAACCGGTGGAATGATGTAATGGTTGGAAGCGTCATGGCGCAGCGCTTGTGCGTCCGTTGCCGCATAAAGCTATGCGGCAACGGAACACCACCATAATCATGCATCAGCCTAACAATTGTTAACCCTCGCCTTCACAAGATAGTAAGAGTTCCCATCGACAAAAAACCGAGCTGTATTTGTTGCGTAGAGCCGTACTTGTTTTCGGACGGTGCTTTCTAGAAACCTCCCGATTTCGAACGACAGTGTTTTTGCCTCACGCCGGTCGTTGGCGCTGATCATGGCACGCCATGGAGATGCGGTGCTTGCGGGAGATGCGGTGCTTGCGGGAGATGCGGTGCTTGCGGGAGACAATGCTCCCAATCTCACAGCACCCCTTGATGCCGAGAAGCGGCACCAGGAGGTGGGAGTGATGCCGCAGACAGTGAGGCGTCACACCGTAATTCCCAGCGGATTTTCGTCGCTTCTCACCGAATCCTTCTCACCGCATCCTTCTCAGGACGAAAGAGAGAGCATCACCAAAATGTTGCTAACCCAAACCTGACTCGAAAGTGACACCTACCCCATCCTGAACACATCTCGAAAGTAGCACGAAAGTCACATTTAGGTCATCTCGCATTTGAAGTCAGTTTAGGGTTGACCTCTCATTCTCTCTCTCTTTTTCTTATCTTGAAAATAAGTAACATATTCTTTTTCCCCCACCCACCAGAGCGTGGACGTGGTTGATCCGCTGCCACGCCCCATCAGGCACATCATCTTCCACCTCCTGCTGCTGCCACCCTCACTCCCCTCCCACTTTCACAATCCAGCACTCGTCTGCAATACTTCTCCCCGCACCCACCCACCAGAGCGTGGACGTGGTTGACCTGCTCTGCTGGACGCCCCCATCAGGCACATCATCTTCCGCTGCCTTCTCTCTCGTCTCCACTTCTTTTCCACCCTCCAGAATGTGGACGTGGCTGATCTGTTGGACGCCCCCATCTGGCACATCAACTTCTGGCATTGGGCTAATCCTCGCTCTCCCTCTCTCTTTCTCATCGTACCAAACATTCCCTCACCTGTCAGGTGGACGAGGTTGATCTTCTGCCCGGCCACATCTGGCACATCATCTTCCGCCACCTGCTGGACGAACGGGATCATGACTCCAAGTCCTCAGTCGCATCGCAGCTGGGAACTGCCACTGGCAGCACGGAGGGAACTGGCAGCATGGAGTCCGGTGCCACAGCCACTCCACCTTCTGACATCGCAGCAGGGAACTGCCGGTGGCACGCGGAGGCTGTGTCTTTCTTCGGCGCCTCCTGGCCTCTGCTGCGCTACGCCATGGCCAGCAAGAAGCTCCTCCAAAATGTCGTCTCCTTCTCAGTGAGTCGTCACGGCATCATGCGCTGCTTCCCTCATTCCATCATCCTAACAGTTCAGAGTTGACAGCCTTCTCTGGTACATTTCATCTCACAAGCATGGTCATTTCTGCTCTGCTAACTTTTGAGTCGACTCAAAAGTCAACTGCTTCCCTCATTCCATCATCCAACAATTCAAAGTTGACAACCTTCTCCGATACATTTCTTCTCACGGGCATGGTCATTTCTGCTCTCTGGGGTTCTGAGCTGAGCTGTACAGTCACGGCTAAGCTCCTCTGCCATCTCTGTACCCTTAACCATCTCTGTACCCTTTACCATCTCTGTACCCTTTACCATCTCTCTACCCTTTACCATCTCTCTACCCTTTACCATCTCTGTACCCTTTACCATCTCTGTACCCTTTACCATCTCTGTACCCTTTACCATCTCTGTACCCTTTACCATCTCTGTACCCTTTACCATCTCTGTACCCTTTACCATCTCTGTACCCTTTACCATCTCTCTACCCTTTACCATCTCTGTACCCTTTACCATCTCTCTACCCTTTACCATCTCTGTACCCTTTACCATCTCTCTACCTTTTACCATCTCTGTACCCTTTACCATCTCTCTACCCTTTACCATCTCTCTACCCTTTACCATCTCTCTACCCTTTACCATCTCTCTACCCTTTACCATCTCTCTACCCTTTACCATCTCTCTACCCTTTACCATCTCTCTACCCTTTACCATCTCTCTACCCTTTACCATCTCTGTACCCTTTACCATCTCTGTACCCTTTACCATCTCTGTACCCTTTACCATCTCTGTACCCTTTACCATCTCTCTACCCTTTACCATCTCTCTACCCTTTACCATCTCTCTACCCTTTACCATCTCTCTACCCTTTACCATCTCTCTACCCTTTACCATCTCTCTACCCTTTACCATCTCTCTACCCTTTACCATCTCTCTACCCTTTACCATCTCTCTACCCTTTACCATCTCTCTACCCTTTACCATCTCTCTACCCTTTACCATCTCTCTACCCTTTACCATCTCTCTACCCTTTACCATCTCTCTACCCTTTACCATCTCTCTACCCTTTACCATCTCTCTACCCTTTACCATTCTCTCCTTACCATCTCTCTACCCTTTTACCATCTCTCTACCCTTTACCATCTCTCTACCCTTTACCATCTCTCTACCCTTTACCATCTCTCTACCCTTTACCATCTCTCTACCCTTTACCATCTCTCTACCCTTTACCATCTCTCTACCCTTTACCATCTCTGTACCCTTTACCATCTCTGTACCCTTTACCATCTCTGTACCCTTTACCATCTCTGTACCCTTTACCATCTCTGTACCCTTTACCATCTCTGTACCCTTTACCATCTCTCTACCCTTTACCATCTCTGTACCCTTTACCATCTCTCTACCCTTTACCATCTCTGTACCCTTTACCATCTCTGTACCCTTTACCATCTCTGTACCCTTTACCATCTCTGTACCCTTTACCATCTCTGTACCCTTTACCATCTCTGTACCCTTTACCATCTCTCTACCCTTTACCATCTCTCTACCCTTTACCATCTCTCTACCCTTTACCATCTCTGTACCCTTTACCATCTCTGTACCCTTTACCATCTCTCTACCCTTTACCATCTCTGTACCCTTTACCATCTCTCTACCCTTTACCATCTCTGTACCCTTTACCATCTCTCTACCCTTTACCATCTCTCTACCCTTTACCATCTCTCTACCCTTTACCATCTCTGTACCCTTTACCATCTCTGTACCCTTTACCATCTCTGTACCCTTTACCATCTCTGTACCCTTTACCATCTCTGTACCCTTTACCATCTCTGTACCCTTTACCATCTCTGTACCCTTTACCATCTCTCTACCCTTTACCATCTCTGTACCCTTTACCATCTCTCTACCCTTTACCATCTCTGTACCCTTTACCATCTCTCTACCCTTTACCATCTCTGTACCCTTTACCATCTCTCTACCCTTTACCATCTCTGTACCCTTTACCATCTCTGTACCCTTTACCATCTCTGTACCCTTTACCATCTCTCTACCCTTTACCATCTCTCTACCCTTTACCATCTCTCTACCCTTTACCATCTCTGTACCCTTTACCATCTCTGTACCCTTTACCATCTCTGTACCCTTTACCATCTCTCTACCCTTTACCATCTCTCTACCCTTTACCATCTCTGTACCCTTTTACCATCTCTGTACCCTTTACCATCTCTGTACCCTTTACCATCTCTCTACCCTTTACCATCTCTGTACCCTTTACCATCTCTGTACCCTTTACCATCTCTGTACCCTTTACCATCTCTCTACCCTTTACCATCTCTGTACCCTTTACCATCTCTCTACCCTTTACCATCTCTGTACCCTTTACCATCTCTCTACCCTTTACCATCTCTGTACCCTTTACCATCTCTCTACCCTTTACCATCTCTGTACCCTTTACCATCTCTGTACCCTTTATCATCTCTGTACCCTTTACCATCTCTGTACCCTTTACCATCTCTGTACCCTTTACCATCTCTGTACCCTTTACCATCTCTCTACCCTTTACCATCTCTGTACCCTTTACCATCTCTCTACCCTTTAACCATCTCTGTACCCTTTACCATCTCTCTACCCTTTACCATCTCTCTACCCTTTACCATCTCTCTACCCTTTACCATCTCTGTACCCTTTACCATCTCTGTACCCTTTACCATCTCTGTACCCTTTACCATCTCTGTACCCTTTACCATCTCTGTACCCTTTACCATCTCTGTACCCTTTACCATCTCTGTACCCTTTACCATCTCTCTACCCTTTACCATCTCTGTACCCTTTACCATCTCTCTACCCTTTACCATCTCTGTACCCTTTACCATCTCTCTACCCTTACCATCTCTGTACCCTTTACCATCTCTCTACCTTTACCATCTCTGTACCCTTTACCATCTCTGTACCCTTTACCATCTCTGTACCCTTTACCATCTCTCTACCCTTTACCATCTCTCTACCCTTTACCATCTCTCTACCCTTTACCATCTCTGTACCCTTTACCATCTCTGTACCCTTTACCATCTCTGTACCCTTTACCATCTCTCTACCCTTTACCATCTCTCTACCCTTTACCATCTCTGTACCCTTTACCATCTCTGTACCCTTTACCATCTCTGTACCCTTTACCATCTCTCTACCCTTTACCATCTCTGTACCCTTTACCATCTCTGTACCCTTACCATCTCTGTACCCTTTACCATCTCTCTACCCTTTACCATCTCTGTACCCTTTACCATCTCTCTACCCTTTACAATCTCTGTACCCTTTACCATCTCTCTACCCTTTACCATCTCTGTACCCTTACCATCTCTCTACCCTTTACCATCTCTGTACCCTCCATCCTCGTACCTATCTCTGTACCCTTTATCCATCTCTGGTACCCTTTACCATCTCTGTACCCTTTACCATCTCTGTACCCTTTACCATCTCTGTACCCTTTACCATCTCTACCCTTTACCATCTCTCTACCCTTTACCATCTCTGTACCCTTTACCATCTCTGTAACCTTTACCATCTCTGTACCCTTTACCATCTCTCTACCCTTTACCATCTCTCTACCCTTTACCATCTCTGTACCCTTTACCATCTCTGTACCCTTTACCATCTCTCTACCCTTTACCATCTCTCTACCCTTTACCATCTCTCTACCCTTTACCATCTCTGTACCCTTTACCATCTCTCTACCCTTTACCATCTCTCTACCCTTTACCATCTCTCTACCCTTTACCATCTCTCTACCCTTTACCATCTCTCTACCCTTTACCATCTCTCTACCCTTTACCATCTCTGTACCCTTTACCAGCTCTCTACCCTTTACCATCTCTCTACCTTTTACCATCTCTCTACCCTTTACCATCTCTCTACCCTTTACCATCTCTCTACCCTTTACCATCTCTCTACCCTTTACCATCTCTCTACCCTTTACCATCTCTGTACCCTTTACCATCTCTGTACCCTTTACCATCTCTCTACCCTTTACCATCTCTCTACCCTTTACCATCTCTCTACCCTTTACCATCTCTCTAACCTTTACCATCTCTCTACCCTTTACCATCTCTCTACCCTTTACCATCTCTCTACCCTTTACCATCTCTCTACCCTTTACCATCTCTCTACCCTTTACCATCTCTCTACCCTTTACCATCTCTGTACCCTTTACCATCTCTCTACCCTTTACCATCCTCTCTACCCTTTACCATCTCTCTACCCTTTACCATCTCTCTACCCTTTACCATCTCTGTACCCTTTACCATCTCTGTACCCTTTACCATCTCTGTACCCTTTACCATCTCTGTACCCTTTATCATCTCTGTACCCTTTACCATCTCTGTACCCTTACCATCTCTGTACCCTTACCATCTCTGTACCCTTACATCTCTCTACCTACATCTCTCTACCCTTTACCATCTCTGTACCCTTTACCATCTCTCTACCCTTTACCATCTCTCTACCCTTTACATCTCTCTACCCTTTACCATCTCTCTCTACCCTTTACCATCTCTCTACCTTTACCATCTCTCTACCCTTTACCATCTCTGTACCCTTTACCATCTCTGTACCCTTTACCATCTCTGTACCCTTTACCATCTCTGTACCCTTTATCATCTCTGTACCCTTTACCATCTCTGTTACCCTTTACCATCTCTGTACCCTTTACCATCTCTGTACCCTTTTACCATCTCTGTACCCTTTACCATCTCTGTACCCTTTACCATCTCTCTACCCTTTACCATCTCTGTACCCTTTACCAGCTCTCTACCCTTTACCATCTCTCTACCCTTTACCATCTCTCTACCCTTTACCATCTCTCTACCCTTTACCATCTCTCTACCCTTTACCATCTCTCTACCCTTTACCATCTCTCTACCCTTTACCATCTCTCTACCCTTTACCATCTCTGTACCCTTTACCATCTCTGTACCCTTTACCATCTCTGTA